TGCCAAGGCTGGACACTGCTTCAGAGATGACCTTCAGTGGCATAGACTCAGTGCAATTAGAAGATCAGTCAGGTGCAGCTTTAATTAAACATCACCTGCCCAAGGTAGGACTAGAGTTGGTGTTTGGTTTTCATCTTCCAGCTTGCATCATGCATGATTATTCCATCTTTGATCATGCTACCACTTATATAAACAACACTGGAAAAATTTCTGTTTCTTTCCATTTTCTTGTCTCCTTCTGAATTAAGAGCTATTGGCATGGCACTGGTCTGACCTCCCGTCTGATAGCCAAATCGATGACCTAAAGTTGAGAGATTTTATGTTGCAACCCTTTGAGCTATGTATCCCTTTTGGATGAAAAAACTTTGCTGTACCACACTCTCAAACAGAGCAGAGCCATCTTAGCAATACAGTATTAGTCTGCAAAACCTGAGCATTTCAGCTTCATAAATACAAGTGCTAAAGAAAACTAAAGCTCCACTTCAGGAAGCAATTTCTGAGCTGCGAGGAAAATTAATCACTAGAACAGCTTATCAGGGTAGGTGGTTGACTCACCATTGCTTGAAGTCTTTAAGATAAGATTAAATTTTTTTTTTTAAAAGTCATGATTCAATCATGTTTCTGGGAGAAACTGAGAGTAGGACATTAGGCAGTATAATGGGAAGGTCTTTTCTGACCTTGGATCCTGTGAATCTCCAAGTTCTTTGTTCACCTGCCTACCTTCTTGGGCTATGAGAACTGGGTGGGCTTTGGTCCATCAACCAGTTCCTGCCATTCACAGCTCTGCATTAAGAAAATGACTGTAATCAAATCTCATGTGTCAGAGCTTCAGCCATTTGCCTGAAGGGAGCGGGAAAAAGGTTTCTCCCTCTTGCCCGCCCATGCTAATGGCTAAATACATGTTATGTTTGTTTGGTTGTTGCTTCGCTTTCAAAACATCGGAGACTGAACACAAATGGATATAGGCAGAGATGAAGTCAAACGCAGCAGCACAGAAAATGCTCTCTGGTTATCCTCTCTTCAGTTAGCCATTCTTGCTCACACCTCAGATCTGTGCTAGTCATCAACTCTGATGACTATCTATGTTTATAGAGAAGATGTTTTGGCTGGGAGGGTGGAGACCATAGAAGGTACAAGGACTGATGGAGAATGGGGACTGATATCAACTCCATCTACAAGGGCAATGTTTGTTTGATGAGAACATCTTGACCTTCTCAGGTAATCAGATCCTTGTCACTGCAAGATCCTTGTTTATTAGTGAAACCTTGGTCCCACCCGCTTTCCGATTAAACCAAACCAAGAAAGTTTCTTTAAGCCAGAAATGTTTTGGTCCAACCAAAATCTATAGCAAATAGACCTAGGGGGCAATCTAAATGAAGTTTTTAAGAAATGATGAAATAAAGGAAGATAAAGAACACAAAATGAATGGCCTGCCCCAGTCTTGAACTCTACAAACTACAGCAGTTTGTTTCTTAACAACACTATCACCCAAGCCTGTAGGAGACTAAGCATACAGACAAGATGCATCAAAGTGCCCAAGGCTCTTGACTTCAATGCAGAGTTCAGAGGCCATATCATCTGCATTTTATAAAACGGCAAGATATGTACTTTACACCTATAGATGCCTAATTCTGTTCTATACCACTTAAAAAGGGAATTAGCTGCTTATCTTTTTCCAGGCAAGGAAGATGACATGGTTATGAGCCAATCAGTTCAGATTTGTCTTCCTCGAACTTGTTGGACCCAGTTCTGGGCTAACGGGTTCCCATGTAAAACCAATCTGATTGACTCAAAATGGATTTCCTTTTAATCTATGCCAGCATACAGAAAATGAAAATCCATGCCTTGGGAGCAGAACGCATTTACACTGCCAGGTTTTTTGCAGCTGCAATGAGAAGGGATGGGGCAGGTGAGCAAGACAGCGCACCACACCTGAATTCAGCCTGGTAGCCTAGAAACTGGGGACAGATGGTGTGAAAATGAACCAGACACTGAAAAATTCAACTTTATAACCAGAAAGACTATAAACATACAGCAAGTGAGCATGAGATTTATGCAGAAATTACAGAGGAATTCCTATGGATGATTACACTTCCAGCCCAAGCATGAAAAGCAAATCCATCAATACAAATGTCACGACATAAACAGCGCAGCTCCCAGGCCTCCCCATTACCGAATCTGGTAAATACAGAAAGGGGCTACAGACACTTGTGACGTGGCTCTACTCACCAAAGTAGTCATCAGAGGGAGGATTCTCCATGTCATACAGCATTTTCTTGGTCAGATGTTCCAGCTCATCCTCAGGCCTGAAGGCAGGAGTGCTTGATGCAGGTCCAGAGCTTGGATACCCACTCTGAAAAAAAAATGACAGTCTGTGACGTGGTATAAAAGCATTTGCCCACAGTAAGAGGGTCTATTGGCTGTTCAGTGTTGAACTTCATTCTTTGTCTTATTTTTGCAAGGGATTCAGCCAAGTAAACATCTCATTTAATGTAATGAAAATGGACTCCTAAAAACATCCGGTGAAGTGCTATATATCCTCCTAGAATGAGAAGTATTCTGTGCCTCATAATTAGGTGTCTACTGGGTAGCACATAATAATAAATAAAGGAGAAAATTATTCCAAGGATAACTTGATACAAACATTTTCCAACACTAAAAAAGGCTTTGGAAGCATTTCAGTTTGGATTTGGCAAAAGCTTCCATCACTTCACAACGCAATATAAAAGATGCTAGAACAATCATTCCTACAGTGGTGGACTATATGGACAAAGACAGATAATCCCGAGCTGCTAGTTATGTTCTCTTCTTGTTTGTTTTGACACAAATCCTGCTGTTAACATTAGTGAGAGCAGGAGCTGGTCCACAGATTTTTAGTACCAGGGATACAAAGGTTTTAATATGTGCTTAGAAACTGAGACCTCTTGGCCTTCATATGCTAACAGCTGGCACACAGTATTTGCAGTCTGTCTCAGTGAGTCTTCTCCCTGGAAAACAACAGAAGTACGGGCATATTTTGAGAAGCACAGAAATAGTCTCATGCCTAGAAGTTTCTTAGAAGAAGCTAAGTTTGGTGTCCGTAATGAGAAACTCGGTCATTTCAGGATTAAAAAATGCTGACACCAGCTTTCCTTGCGTGCACTGCTTTCTTGAAAGACTTGCATGCAAAAACTAACTTATTTATGAAATGCAGCATTTCAGTAAAGCAAGTGATTTCATTGATTAATTGCTGCCTTCATCAAGGATTGGACCTTAGATATGAAACTTAAGAGCCTTAGTCTATAAGGAAGCATTTTTCCATGCTCCTCACCTACTTAAATGGGAAGAAAATGTAGTATCACTGGAGAAACAATACAGTGGCCACCTCTATCTGGCTTAGAGAGACTACATCTGACATGATGAATCTTTATTGAGCCAGTCATGTTCAACAGAGAACAGCAGCTTTAAAACACTGCAAGAGAATTAACTAAATGCTTTCACACTTTTTTCTTTCCGGCAAGAAGGAGATTTCAAATGAGACATCAATCAATGTAGAGAAGGTCTCAGAACGGCGCTTAGCAATAATACTTCAATCATCCACTCCCAGAAACCAAGCACTTGCATGTTGCAGACCCTGTCATACTTATTTTTCTAGGGCCCATGCTAAGCTGTACACCATCACCCCCCTCGCTTGTTGACCTGATCTATCTCACAGGCACTGCACCCATGAGCGCTGCAGCATGATTGCACCCCCTGGAAGTGCTGGGTTTGCCGTGCACACACAATATGGCAGTTGCACCTGCTGCCTGCCCGCCAATTCATCTCTAACAGAGTAGCAGCACTGCACAAGGGAGATGGGTGGCACGGTCCTCTGGAAGAAGGGGCATCTGGAATATGCCCCAGGCTGGATGAATTTCCCTGGAGGGCTGTGCGAGGTCTATTTGCTGTACATTCAGCCCCCCTGACTGAGAATATAGATTGGACCTGCCATACATTCAGGTTTTCCCAGAGATGTTTTCTTTTTCTGCTCAAGGATTTTTTTCTGAGCAATATTGAAGGATTTTGAGCATTTGTCCAGGATTTCTGGATGCCTAGCAGTTGTTCTGAGGAAGCTGTTGAACATCTGGAAATCCTGAACGTCCACACACAGCTCAGTACACTCTATTGTACAAATGCAACCACGCTGAGGCGTTTGGGCTACCACAACTTATTTTTTTATATGGGGAAACAGGCCTGTATGGTGCAGAGGACTTGCATTTGATTTCTAAGTCATGTAAGTGTCATCTCTGTGCGATATATCATTTTGGTGGGGATAAGGCCACTCATATGACTAGGAGTTTCAGAGCCAGGTACTTGACCCAGCACACCCAGACGCCCTTGGCCAGTGCTTTGTGGCTGTTTTTAGAAGGCTAGTTGACAACTATTTCATTAGAAATAGCATAACCCTAAAAAAAAAGGTTTATTAATAAGCCAATTAAAGGTGCCAAATGTAAAGCATTTAATCTTGGAACAACCTTTTTTTTTCCTTTGCTCTCTTGTTACTAAGAGCTGATCATGAATCTTGCCTGAACATATATTTTAACCCAGCAAGTGCAGCCAAGGATTTATTAGCTTGAGAAATCAATCTGGCAACTGAGCCTCTTAAAATATTATTCCATCTATTGTACCTATTTCAGTTTCCATGCAGAAAGGATCAACCACTGCCACCCCATCGACTGAGACTCCTTCCCTAGACTTTGCCTGGAGAAGACAGTACGGCATGAAGCTGATGATGGCCCCCATCCCTGTATTTCCCCCGTTAGCAATCACCAGTGCGGCACGAACGCATGGAAGCGCCATGCTCCAGCCTTCCTGCTGGGCTTTGTCCACACATAATCTGAAACACTGCTTTTACCCTTAGGCCTCATAATATAAATGGGCCAAAACAGAAGGCACGAGCTGCTGTCTGTTCACAGAACAGGGAAGCAAGATGCATGGAGCTGAAGCGATTTGCCCATCATCACACGTGGGCTCTAAGGCGAAGACAAAACCTGCAGCCAGGCTGCTGCGAGCCCCACATCTTCAGCCTCGCACACAGCCCGCCGGGGCCGGACTTAGTGTTGCAGACCTACACTGGCCACTCTCTGACCCAAAGCCACCGCATCTGCAGGTCACCACCAGCCAGGCTTCGGCAGGACACCCAGGCGGTGGTTCCATGCCAGCTTCCCACACCTCCTGATCAGGGGGCCCGCTCATGCCTGCTTCAGTAAGGACTTAGGCTGTGCCATTTAAAATGAAAAACCAAAATCTGCAGATTTTCAGTTCTGCCTGACTTCCTCTGGTTTTGGAGGCCACGTTGCCTAGTACACACAATAAATAGGCTGCTCTCGTATTTTATCTACATTGCACTTTTCCAAATCGGCAGATTTCTTATCCAGTACCCAATGTCAGCAAAAACAACAAATACCAACCACAACGTTATGAGACGCTTTAACTTATTTTGACTAAAATGCTATGCCTTTTTGACCAACATTTAAGCAGTGCTAGGCACATCTTTTTCCTCCTCGCATGGCACATGCTGATTATGTGCCTCCAGGAAAATTTCATGCATACGAACATGCTGTTGAGTTTGCTGGGACACGCACGCACACAAACATAGAGAGGAAAGTGTATCCTTAGTCCAATCTAAAATGCTTGTTTCAGCAAAACAGTTTCCTTCCTCCTCCTTTGTTAGGTCAGGAAAAAAAAATAACTGGCTTTCCTTACAAAACAGAGTTGTGTTGTTGTTATTAAACTTCCTCTATTTTCTCCTGATCTGTACAATGATCAAGGCTGTCTAGAAATCCAATTTGCTGTCTAATCTACCACAGTTATCTTCATGCATTCTCTCTTCTCCACAATGCCTCAATGCACACAAATATGTATTTCTGAGCTACAGACAGGTCAAAGCTGGGGCCGAACTGCAACATGGCCTCCCAAATCCTCTGAGCATCACTTTGTCTGTCTAATCCCAGCAACATCAGGGATGATAAACTGACCCATGAAAATACAAAAGAGCCTTGGTCAGCAAAAAGCCAGCAGTAGGGACCATGCTTTGGGAGCAGGAACACCTGAGTCCAACCCTTGCTACTGCCATCAAATACTGAGCAACCTCAGGAAAGAGCATGACGATTGCAGTCGCATGTGCAGACGCAAATGCATTCATTAAGAAACACTGTCCTGCATGCTTAGTTAGTGGAATGTCTAGGAAAATGCCAGCATTCCCATGGTTAAACCCCGTGGCAGAAAATATCTTCATGCTACAAACGAAAGGAAGTGAGTTAATCGCTTGTGCCACTCTCAAAGCGCTGCAACAACATCTGGCTCATCTTCCTCATTAAAGTTCAGTTCCTAAAAAGCCAGGTCAAAAGAAGCAGTCGCGTGGAATCACTGCATAATTATGTTGGTACACGAAGTTGATACTTGTTTCAGTGCTTCTCTGGTGCATGTTTTCTACTCCAGACCTCACTGGTAATCAGCTGTCTCTGATGTAATGGCTGCTCAGAAAACTCTGCAGTTAGTGAGGTGAAGTCACCAACATGAACCTTCCCCATCCACATACAAATTTTTACCCGTCTAGGTAAAAACCACAGCACAAAATCTGCAAAGACATCTGAAGATGATGCTGTGATCAATGCACCATCATTCAGAGTGCACTGTATGCGGTCATTTTTCTTGTCCATTTGCAAATGTTGTAGAAGAAGCTTCTTCTCTCTGAGAGAAAATAACTTCAATTATGTGTTCCCAATTACGGAAACGTGGAAATTATCTTCTTTTCAGAAGGTAGAATTAGCCCAATTTCGAATTGAAAGGCAGCCAGAAACATCTTTCACTGATACTTACTTTCCCTTTCATTTTTTTTCTTCTTGTTCATCTGCATAAAGTTAGCACTTCCCTTTCACTTCACTCACCAAAACTGATCATTGGTTAAATAAACAGTTAAATAGCATCACAGCACATTTTTTATTCAATGGCCTGACAAAGACCATACTTTTTCATTTAAGTTATTGACTGTGCAAAACAATCGCAAACTTTCAGACCAAAAAATCCAGCATGGTGCCACATCTCTCATGAGTCGAGCTCCCAAAGAAATATCAAGATTGCCTGCAGCTGTAATTCAGTTTATAATTAAGGCCAACTGATCTCTCTTACAGAGAAGATGCACTGGAAAAAAATATTTTAATTCTTGATTTATTTTCCCAATGAAAAGTTACAGCTGCCAGAGTACATACAGATTCCTGAAAAGACGATTCTGCCTAGATTCCCTGCAACATGCACGTTCCTGGGTCTACTCCTGATCAGAGAATAATTCATCACGATCCCTTGAAGACGTTGCTACGAGGAAATACTCACTGA